CTGACTGGCTTCGATGACTGGGAGTGATCTTGCCTCCCCCAGGGAATATTTGCTTCATGTTATTTAGTTTTTCAATTCACTAATGTCGATAGGCTCAGTTCTTTTTTATTTTCTTCTTTTTTTGTGATACTCGGAATCAAACCCAGGGTGCGAGGCTAGAGCTCTACTCCTGAGCTAAGCCCTGGCCCTCCTCCAGGGACTCTTCTTTGGCATTGTTTCCAGAAGTTTTTTGTTGTCACAAAGAGAAGGGGTGTTCCAGGCACCTCAGTGGGTAGAGGTCAGGGATGCTACTCACCAACCTACAAAGCCCAAGACAGCCCCCACGACAAAGAATCTTTCAACCCCAAATGTCAATGGAGCTGAGGTTGAGAAACCCAGGTCTCAGCAAAGCCAGGCCCTCCCCCCCCAGCCACCCCACCCCCACCCGTCTTGGTCTCCTTCTCTCACCATTTGGTCTCTCTTGGGCTCTTCCCCAGGCCTGCGCTCCCCTGGTCTGAATCTTCCTGTCTCCTTCTGTTTACCTGTGTCTCTCACCTTCTCTCACAGGCCTCCCTGACCCTTTATTTTATTTATTTTTTTAAACTTAGTTTTAGTTGTAGATGGACATAATACCTTTACTTTATTTACTTTTATGTGGTGCTGAGGATGGAACCCAGGGCCTCACACAGGCTAGGCCAGCGCTCTACCGCTGAGCCACAACCCCAGCCACCACCACCCCCCCCCAGGCCTTTAAAGCCTCAGAGCCCCTCATCCCCTCTCCAGGGGGCCTGAGAGGCCAAATTGGAGTGAGGCCCAGAATGCCCCTCCAGGAACTTAGGAAGCAAGTGCGTCAGCCCCCAGCACTGCTGGGACTGAAAGGTGGAGGTGGGGCCTAGTCCCTCCCTGTGGCCCTGGGGCTTCTCACAAAGACTGCCCTTTGACTTCCTAAGGGACATTGTCTTTTTTTTTTTTTTTTGTCCACATATCTTTAAATTTTGAATTTGTTTGTCTCCAAAAGAGCACACTCTTTCCAATTAGCCACAGTGCCCATTGTTCCTCATTGTCTCACATTGGACTCTTTCCTCTCATTTATTTATGATGGCTCTGGACTTTGAATTGCCTGCTCTGGAGGGTAGGATGCCAGACTTTGGAACAGGATCTGGACTAGATGGTGGAGGGATCTTGACTGGTGACCGTGTGGATGGCCTGGTGGACTGCCCAGCCTCTCTCCTTCTCTCCCAACTCAGCCACTAAGCAAAATTCCCACTGCCCTTCTCATTCATCTTCTCAGAAGAACATTCCAGAACAGCTGGGCTGGTCTCTGGCCCTGCATTGGGCAGCCTTAGGGCACTGATTGGTGTGGGAGAGGTACAGGTGGACCAGAACCAGCAGAGGGCAAGAGTCCCTCCTGCTCCTGGCTTCATCAGTGCCAGGCACAGAACAAACCCTGACACTAGTTAGTTATGCTAATGATAATAGCAAACATTTATTAGGCACTTACTGTGTGTGAGACACTGCACTGACTGACTTCCACCTATGATCTCCTTTAATAAGCCCAAAGCAGGGGCTGGGGTGGTGGCTCAGTGATAGAGTGCTCGCCTAGCATGCATGAGGCACTGGGTTCCATTCTTGGCATCACATTAAAAAAAAAAAAAAAAAAAAAAAAAACCTAAAGATACATAAATAAATATTGATAAAAATAAACCCAAAGCAATATTTCTTAAAAGCCTTGGAACCTGATCCACAGCCAAAAATATACTTTCTTTGCAACCCACTATTGACTCACAGGTTGATAAGTTTTTCATCAAATTATACTTTTTTTTTTTTTTTTTTAAAGAGAGAGTGAGAGGAGAGAGAGAGAGAGAGAGAG